TCCCTACATTAAAAGGGAAGCACCTCTATTCCAGGTTAATTATAAATTAACTTAATTATAAAGAAAGTCTTGCTCTATCTCAAAGAGATGAAAGGAGTTTGCTGATCCCTTCAGTGGGATTTAAACTATGTCTCATCATTTTATTTTCCTCATTAACACTGACCCAAGCTGACAATCCCTGTGTTTCTCTCATCTCTCAGTGGATTAGATTTAACTAGAACAAATTGTTAACTACCCAGAACTGGGGCTTTGTTATTTCAGACTCATTTCACTTCAGCACCTCTGCCCATACCTTTAAATTTGCAGGTGACAGACACCTCTCCTCAGAGTTTATTGCCTCATCTCAAAGGAGCTGTTTGTGTTTGTTCCTCATGGGAGGTCTAAATTTACCGATCCAGGTACCTCTTTTCCTCCTCTTTGCAGCTCACCAAGCAGCAGGAGGACTAATCTCTCCTCCCAAGTCATCATGCTTGTAAGAAAGCAGTAAAAAGCAGCGTGCTGCCCTGCTGCTGTATGCTGCCAGGCTGCACCCGCACCCACCAGGCTACTCCTTTTACCATTTCTTACCCTACTAGAGCGCGAGACCCATGTCCCCTGGGGCAGACCTGTCCTTGTTCCCCTGTGACACCATGCCCCAAACAGCAAGATCTTGCCTTGGAGCTGAAAGCTAGAGCAGCTCCTGCAGTATGAATTCACAGCAAGAGACCACAGGTTACCAACCCTTCAAGTGGATGTTTTCTAGACATCTGTCAACTCTGGCAGTTTTAATGATTTATTTGTAACAACATAGTTTACTTTACATCTATGACCACATTGCAAACTTCTGCAACAGGGAACAAACCCTAGAACACTGTTCACTGGCATATCACAGTAGCCTAGCACCACTTTCCAAGCCTTATATATTCCTGCAGCCTAGCTGCAGACATGCTGGGTTTGATTTTTAACTCTCAAGGGGGCTGAGGGCAAGGGGAAAGAGGGGGGGAGATTGGGAACTATGACTTCCCCTACCCTTAATCAGCTGAATAAAACCTGTACAGGTCTTGAAGTTGTTCACATGGTATGCAAGAGGTGAGGAAAGCTACAAGTGAATGCATCTGCATTGCCCTCCCCGAGGTACTCGGGCAGTAGGGCTGGTTAGCTGGGTCTGGACCCTATATGAGTGGAGCAAGACTATGAGTGACATAGCCTGTTCTGGTTAAAAATAAAAGGAGGGGTGTCTGTGGCAATGGATCATCACTGGAGCATGCTTTCTAGGTAGCTTTCATCTTGAACTATGGTGACTGCACACAGGTTGGGGGTCTAGCCTTTGTTTCATGTCCTGTTCACAAATAAGCTTCCACCTCTTAGTGCCATCCATAAAGTTAAAGCTCCTGGGTTTTGCCAAGAAACCTGGGATGCTCTCCTGAAAGATAACTCTGTGTTTGGCCCATTCCAGGCCAAAGAGCTGGATCTGTGTTGTCACAGTAGACACATCAGGAAGCATTACTTTCTTCGTTGTCTGACACAGGAGCAGCTTCAGCAGGGCTGGAAGGCAGAGGCAAGACTGCATTGCTCAGGTTGAAATGCTTTATGTAGTCCTGCTAAAGTCAGGAGAAGGGGATGCAGGAGTTGGAAGTCCCTGGAGCCGATCTGGCACCTTCCAAGGCATCTGCAAATGCAAAAGGCATCTTTGAAAAGAGTGCATTCCCCAAACCGCTTCCCTGGTGCACGGTCATCTGCAGCAGAGGCCAGCATCACTTACCTGCTCTGCAAAAGCAAGGTGTGCTGTGCCCAAAGCTGAAGAGCTGTCCTCTCTGCCTGTGTGGCTGACCACAGGCCCATTGGTGGTACTGTGACACTGCCAGGACTGCACATCCTCAAGCAGTCATGAGAGCTGCAGGGAAACTTGGGCAAGCGTAACCTGGATTGCCAGTAAGAACAGCGGTAGTCACCTTCTCCATAGATCAGAGACACAGAGGGCTCTGGCTGGGAGTGCCTACACCCCACCCCCCTGCCAGCAGCTGACAAACAATATCTGTTGGTCCTTGGATATATTCACCTTATGACTTTAAGGCTTGATTTTCTTCATGTCACTAATTATGCAAAACCTGCAAGGTAGGGGGCTGCCTTGTACTGAAAGACTGTAGTTTCTTGGTTTGGAGCTTTGCTCAAATCAATGGGGAAAACACCTCACAATGCCTTTCAATAGGGTGGGACCAGCCTTCTGCATCAGCCCAGTGTCCACAAAAGCATTCCAGCAACCTTAAGCTGGACTGATTTAGAAAAGCTCTCCTCTAGCCTGACATACAGCACATACAACATGCCAGGATGGTTTAGAAACTCAAGCCATCTGGAGTTCTTTTCCACAAAAACATGTGTGCGCCAGAATTTGTCTCCTCTGAGCCACCCACAGTGAGAAAGGATTGTATTAAAGCTGGTTCAAATTTCTCAAATTCAATTTTAGGCAAAAGAAAATAGTCAATAGGTATTTGGAAAATGCCTTGGAAAGAACAAGCTGATTAAAAACCTAACAACAAACTTTGAAGAAACATTAACACTGTCCATTCAGAGCCCCAAAATACTGAACGGCCTCCAAAACTACGCTTCTTGAGGTGAGGTTCCTTCCCCTTCCTGCCACCTTCTCCCTCAGTGTTTTACCAGCCAGATTTAGGGTTAACCCAAAGCGAGTCCTGGGTCACGAGGGCTCCCTTGCTTCAGAAACAAGCTCTGTTCTCTGTCTATTGGAAGTGCAGTAAATAAAGATACACTCAGGTTTAAGACTAACCTTACTTGATCCCTTTAGCACAGCAGCTGTAAATCAGTATCAAATGCAGGCAGATCATTTGATTGTCTCCCACTATCTATGACAGGCCATTTCTCAGGTGGCCAGAAGGAGACATCTTAGCTGACAGATAAAAAGAAAGAGCCAGTTAGAAATATGCACGTACACACACATTGAGAAACACAACTGGCAGTTCATTAAGTCCTGCTTGGAAGCGAGAGCATCATTACCAAGCACTGTGGGCAGATCAGAAACCCTGCTCCCAAATTCCCTGAAGGCTGTGGTGCTCTTGCTTGCAGCGTTTGGGTGGGTCCATAAAAAGATTTCGGCCACAGCATGGTGAAATGAGGCAGCGGTGGGGAGCCCTGGGCACTGCAGGATGCAAGGACAAAGGAGGGGGCAGACAGGATTTCTCACACTGACAAGCAACAGGAAATGGGGAGAGCATGACTCACGCCAAAGGCCTCAGCCATGGCTCATGACATGGGCTGCAGCATGCCCTCAAGTCCCAGGGGAGAGCACAAACACAACTGGCTACCTTAATGCAGCCGCCACCACATTAATCAGCAAAAGGTGGCAGACTCCACCGAGGCATGCTCTAAGGCACTGCCCTCCCACAGCAAAGGAGTCTGCAGCAAGGTGTGTTCAGCTCCAGAGAGGAAACAGTCCTCTGTCTGACAGAGCCTACTGCACATAACCCCACAGCACCTTCGGAAATCTCAGCCCGAGGACAGACAAACAGCACGCCTGCTAACGTCTGCATGATATCGAAATCTCCCCTTTGACCACAGGCAGGCAGAACAGGACTTACCATATGCTATGTCTGTATGCATGGACATCGATCCAGGACTGACTGCTCGTCTCGAGCACAGACCATCCAGCAGCTAGAAAGCCATCCAACATTAAATCAAGCACTGTGAGGAACAGCAACAAGAAACCAAGGAGAGGGGAGAGTTGCAAGATGTTTGCTTAAATCACCTATTCAGTATTTATAAAGCAAAGAGACAAAAAATCCAAATCAGATGCAAATAACTCCTGAACTGAAAGATCTGCATTTCCCTTGAGCATGCCATTCAGCAGATGACTAAACCAGTCCTATTGTTTATGCAAAGAAAAATGTGCAGCTTCCCTTGACTACCCCCATCTGTGCTTCTTAACCTGGAGGCAAGACTGCCAGGCTTACTGGCCTCCTCTAGATGGTATTTATTAAAGCCACTTGCCTGGAAGCTGCCCTGCCTTGGCAAGAGCATTTCATGGCTCTCCCCTGCCCCCCAAACCGCTTAAGCCACATGTAGTCCATGAGATGTGCAACTTTGTGCAGTGCCATGCAGCGGCTCAGCTTTTTCTGGCAACAGATGTGTTTTGACATATACGTACTACGTGTTACGAAACAACATTGCTCATCCCCCCTCTCCGGAAAAGAGGCTTTATATATAGGGATTTGTGATGGGGTTTGTCAGCTGCTTGTGCTTGCTGTGAACTAGCATCTCCTACTGCTGTGGGCCATTCCTCACCTTTGCCTATGGACTGTAGTGCCCAGGACTTAGATGGGAAGAACAAAAACAAGTTAACAGGCTTGTGGCTTATAAACCTCCAGCAAAAAAATAAATATACACTAGAACAAGATGCAGGCTTTACCTTCTTTGTCACTGATGCTATGACTCACAAACAGAGCTGGCAACTCAGCTGATGAAGTATTTTAGTACATGAAGCTATCTAGGAAGGAAAATCGCAAGATTATTTCCTAACACAGTTGGACTGGTTTATACACATTTTCTTATTTGAGAATTAATCCCTTTCCAGCGATTGCATGGATTTACATTTTACACTCCTCAATAATATCCAGCACATTTCCTCCTGCCTTTTAAGTGACTTGATGCCACTTGGCACAAACACTGGGTAAGGGACATGGCCTTGCTCCGTGACTTGATGCCACTTGGCACAAGCACAAACACTGGGTAAGGGACATGGCCTTGCTCAGACACAGGATACAGTGCAATTTTGGGGTTCAAGGCAGGGTCGGAGCACATGGTCCTGCCTTGGTCGCCCAGCCTGTGTACATGAACGCGTGCGTGGGCTAAACGAGAGGCACAGGCATAGCCAGGCAGGGATATGAAGCCACCCACCGTGACAGGCAGGCTTCCCCTTGGGTGAAGGCACAGGGAGACAGAAGCTGCAAGAGAAGCCAGTGATGGTACAGGGGAGGGACTGGTGCTGCCCCAAGCTCTACAGAGCCTCTACCAACACCGTGCAGGCTGCAAATGAACAGTAGCATTTGCTTTTCCCTTGGGCTTTTGCTCTGGAGCTCCCCTGTCTTCCCTGGCCACCAGCAGGCTTGCAAGCCACCTGGCTCTGAGGACAAACCCTGCCCTCATCCTTACCAGCTCCCCATTTTATTCTGGGGCCAGGAGAAAAACCAAACCACAGGACTGTAGTGCTGGCTCCTGGTGGCCAGGGACAGGATGCCAGAACAGCAAAGCTGTTAGACAAAGGCTGCAGCCCCATGCACTCATTAACCTCTGATAAGAGAGCAGCCCAAATCCTCTAGATACCATCACCAGCCAGCACAAGAAACAGTAGGGAGATAAGGAGGATGAAGTGCTTGTTGTAGAGGGAGCACACAGCTCTGTGCACAGTCCCTGCAGCAGTAACGACCCCCAGTAAGGCCTGAGAGGTATTCCTTGTCCACGCTGTAAGCCAGACTCAAGACCTTCCCATTTCCCCTAAGCAATCTCTTCTGTTTACTTGTGGCATGCAACTCCCATGTGGACTTCGGACAACCTGCAGTAACACCCGCTCTGTGCTTGGCTGTACAAATTTATTTGTTCCCTGCCGAGTTACTGTGGCACGCCAGGCCAGAGACACACACTAATGCAAAATCCTCTAATTCCCACTTCCACGAGAATATTCTGGGCTGCATTAGAGACCAAGAAACATCTCTTCTGGTACCAGATTCATCAGAACATTCCTCAAGTCTACAGCTATGTCTCAGTAAAACTGAAAGGAAAAACAAACCAATTACTATATTGGCAGAGAGCCAGCAGCAAGGGGGAAGCTGTGTGACACATCTCAAAGGAGTTTGGTCATAGCTTCCCATGGCAGCATTAGAAACGCAAACCGAGGCCAGTCCCCACAGACTCACAGGCTTATGTGGAGCAACTTGTGAATAGTTTTCATGGGTGTTTCCTCCATAACAGAAATGATGACTTCTTAAAAAATACATTGTAAATAGCTTGTGGCCTTTGAACACATCTGCCTCAGAAACACTATCCCCCAGAGGCAAAAGCATCCCAAACCTTTGTCAGACCAATCTGCCATGAGAAGTTTCGAGCCTTCCTTCAGTGCCATCAGAGCTAAGAAAACTAGTAGCAAGGTAAAGGTGTATTCTACAAATACAGGTGGTTTTTAGCTTTTATTTTATAAACAGGTTGTACAGTAGGGGAGTCTTCATAGACATTAAGAGCTTAAATGTCTTGACTTCACCAAAATCCAGTACAGATTTAAAGTACTATAAGCCTTAGTCTTATTTAAACCATCCAGAAAGAAGTTTGCTCTACCAGCTCAAATTAACTGCCCCAATAAAAAAGCATCACCTATACAAGGTCCCCCAGCTGTGCCTTTAGAGACAAGCTATTACACTAGAAGATGCCATGCTGGGTTAGCTAATTAACACAATGGTGCCTGAGCACCAAGCCCCTTATCTGTAACATGGAGTACACCCAACCACTAACCTACATAAGGCTATGCCACTTCTCCCAGAGACACCCAAAACCACCCCTTAGGTCATACAGGGAGCCGCATCTCTTTTCCCCCACTCACCACCTCTTAAAAAAAGCTTCTTTTTTTTTTCTTTTTATTTTCCATCATTTGTAATTTCTTCCTTTACCTGTTTTTCTTCTGGCTTTTTAAGTTTTCCTCGCATTTTCACTGTTGTTTTTTTTTCCTGAAGGTAACAATTAAATGCTTTACGCTCAAAGTTTCCTACTCTCACATTTATCATATTTAAGCTTTCACTAAAAATAAGATAAAAACCTGATAGCTTTTTTCCCCCTCAAAAAAATTAGCACAGCTAAACCACAACCATATTCCCTCAGCCACAAAACAAAAACCAGAAAATGACTTAGTTTTGGTTTTTTTCACCATCCTACTGTTTGCCAGATGAGCTCCAAAAAGACTCCA